GTAGATAGAGAAGAGAAGGGGTCCAAGGACAGAGCCTTGGGGGACCCCTACAGAAAGAGGAAGAGGAGGGGAGGAGTTAGAATTGTAGGTGACACTAAAGGAGTGCATAGATAAGTAGGAGGAGAACCACGAGAGAGCAGAGTCTTGTAGGCCAAGCGAGTGGAGTTTTTTGAGGAGCAGTGGGTGGTCAACAGTGTCTAATTCATCCCAAAGGTGTTCTCTCGGGTTGAGGTCAGAACTGTCCCTGAAAAACAACCCCACACCATAATCCCCCCTCCACCAAACTTTACAAGTGGCACAATGCAGTCAGGCAAGTACCGTTCTCCTGATAACCGCCAAACCCATGCACGTCCATCAGATTGCTAGACAGAGAAGTGTGATTCTACACACTTTGTAGAGTCCTTAAACAGGGAATAATTTCGTTCAAGCACCCAGACAACACAGACGGTCAGACCCCTATCACTGTGAACACACATGACTCAAGCACCCAGACAACACAGACCCCCATCATTGAGAGCAGACACAGCCCAAACACCCAGACAAAGCAGGCCCCAGTCATTGTGAGTACATACCACCCAAGCACATAGAAAATGCAGGCCCCTATCATTGTGAGCACACACAACCCGATCACCCAGACAACCCAGACAACACAGACCCCTATCATTGAGCACACATGCACCTGTGAGTACAGAGATCACCTCAGCATTACGGTAAACTCTGCAAAAGATCAAAATGACTTTTTAATATCTGTGTCTAGTGCAAAAAATGTAATTTACTGCAGCTCACCGGTCCTTAGATGTGGGGGCTGTATTCATTTTCATTTTCAGCCAAGAAAATTTTTAGCAAGTACAGAAAATACCTGTTAATCCTGCCAGAAATGACATGCCCTTGTCACTTACTGTCAGCAAAACAATGTCATCTTTCTTGTGTAAAATACTAGTCACATACTGTGATGGAGATAAACAATGGCAGACATGTTTGAAGTCCAAACATGGCTTCTCCATCGATACAGTGGGGAAATGAGTGTAGCTATGAAAAGAGAGTAAGTGTGTTGCTGGCAGGATCACCAGGTGATAGTAAAGTGGGAAAAAACGGGGGGGAGGGAGAAAACTAATGCAGCCACCACACCTAAGAACTGGAAGGTATGGGGAGAGAAGACAGTACTAGTACATCTAAGGGCTGGTAGGTAATAATAGGAGGGGTGCAGACAATAGGAGGGGTGCAGACAATACCGGTACATCTAAGCACTAGAAGGTATGGGGGAATGTAATGCAGCCAGTATTGGTACTAGGGTTGCCACCTGTCCAGGATTCACCCGGACAGTCCGGATTTAGAAGGCTGTGTCCGGGTTACATAGCCCACCTTAGAGCCCGCATAGCCCAACTGAGAGTTCACACAGCCAACCTGAAAGTTCACACAATCAACCTGAGAGTCCACACAGCCCACCTGAGAGTCCACAGAGCCCACCTGAGAGTTCACACAGCCAACCTGAGAGTTCACACAACCAACCTGAGAGTCCACACAGCCCACCTGAGAGTCCACACAGCCCACCTAAGGGTCCACACAGCCCACCTAAGGGTCCACACAGCCCACCTGAGGGTCCGCACAGCCCACCTGAGGGTCCGCACAGCCCAACTGAGGGTCCACACAGCCCACCTGGAGGCCTGCACAGCCCACCTGGAGGCCTGCACAGCCCACCTGGAGGCCTGCACAGCCCACCTGGAGGCCTGCACAGCCCACCTGAGGGCCTGCACAGCCCACCTGAGGGCCTGCACAGCCCATCTGAGGGCCTGCACAGCCCGCGCGGCGCTAGAGTGCTCGGGTTTTACTTGAAGAAAAGGTGGCAACCCTAATTGGTACATAAGGACTAAGAGGTATGGAGGCAGGCCCGGCGCTACCATATAGGCAGGTCAAGCAACTGCCTATATGTGACTGGCCATCAAGATGCAAATCTAGTAAGGATTGTCAACAGCACACAAAAGGTTTTGAAGCAAAAAGTCCTTTATTGACACTGGTATGTCTATTTAAAGGTGATGGTATGCTTTACTATGTCATTGTGAGCCTGATGAAGGGGTACTGCTGAGACCCCGAAAGCGCTTGCATGGCAATTTGTCAATAAAGGACTTTTTGCTTCAAAACCTTTGGTGTGGTGGTGACAAAAATACTCTTTCGCCTGTGTAGGCAAAAATCCTTGCACCAGCCCTGTATGGTGGGGGTGGAGTGCAGATAGTATAGGTACATCTAAGGACTGGAAGGTATGGTGGAATTGGTGCAGACAGTACTGATGCATCTTAGGACTGGTCAGCTGTAATTTATGACATTCATGTTCTTGGGTTTGGTTACACTTTAATAATTATATCTCATATATTGGACATCTGGAGTAGGTAGAGTGTCACAATTCTCGTACATCTGTGGAGTAGAATTAGACGAATCAGCCATTGTACTGTATATACGATGAATAGAAAGGATGGATCTTCCTCCATATAATAAGGGGATTCCACATAAGACACTTCATAAGCTCTTACCACCCCTTTTATGTTCTGGCGGCCCAAGACAAATGCCCTTTATGGTCCTTTACTATAATGTGTCTATAACCTATACCCATGCTAAGAGAAACCCTGACCGATCCTTGGAGACTGGAGTTACTCAGTTGCCCTGCTGACCCCCTGGTATTAGTATGCAGAACAGAAGTTCTAAGAAAGCCAGATAAAGTCAGACACCTTGCATTCTCAGAGTAATGGTGACATAGATACACATAACACACGTTTAGGGGCAGGGAAGTGTTGTAGTCAACCATGAATACGCATAGTACACATTACGGGTGGAGAAGTTGTGCACCTTGCTGCACTCGGCACAGGAAGTATGTGGGTAGTGTTGTCATAGTCATCTGTGGCTATATGCTCTGCAGTGAAAAGCTATGTGGATCAGACTTCAGGCAGTAATTCAGGGGGTAGGAAGCAGGATTAGCCCCAAACAGCACACAGGGGCCCCAGATACAGGGTCACTTCTTCTGGTATGGACAGGAAATTGTACAAGACTTTCCAGGTTTCATCTCCAGTTGTTCCTGTTACAGATGATAAACCTTCATATATTTTACTGGTTTTCATAATGTCCTGTCTGTGAGAGGAAGGGTAGCAATCTCATTCAGAGTTCTGTGTAGGTGGATAGCTAAATTCAGGAACCCCTGAACGAAATTCAGGGGTTCAACACTTTACTTAGGACCAGAATTGAGGTCATAGCCACCCCAAACTGCTAGCATTGGGGTCACGTGTACCTGGAAGTGCCATCAGAGAATCAGAGACACCCAGAAGGGCTGACATGGGGTCAAAGGTACTTGAAAGGGCCAGCATTGAGGTCAAAGGCACTTGGAAGGGCAGGCACTGAGGCCAAAGGCACCTGGAAGGGTAGGCACCCAGAAAGGCCAGCACCGGGGACACAGACACCTAGAATGGCAACCACTGGGGTCATAGACACCTGGAAGTGCCAGCACTGAGGTAGAAGGCACTTGGAATAGCAGACATATGGAGTAATATGTTGCCTGTGACCGAGGTCACAGGTACCAGGATGGCATGCACTCTGATCACATACATTTGGAAAGCCAGGCACCAGAGTTACAGGCTCCAAAAACGGCCGGCACAGTGACCATAGGCACCCGGGAGGCATCATGGTCACTGTTATTAATTTGCAGTTCAAATGAAGTCCAAATAGCTAAAAATAGTAACTAATATAAGGTGATAATATGAAACCCAGACACTGCAATGTAAAAGAAAGTCAGCAAGAAATTAAGATCTAGGGTTCAGACACTCGGAAGGCCCAGCACCAAGGTCACAGACACCTAAAAGGACCAGTAATGGCATCTCGGGCACTTGAAACGGCAGTAAGGCAGACACAGGAACTTGAAAGGCACAGCACCTGGGTCACAGACTTCTGGAAGGGCCAGCACCATGATCAAAGGGACCTGGAATCGTAGGGATGGGGATTACAGGCAGGGGGGTCTGCGGCACCCAGACAGGCCAGCACTAGAGATAGAGGTACCTGGATGAGCCTGTACTGGGGTCACAGGCACCTAGAAGGTCCAGTACTGGGGTCACGGACACTTGAAAGGGCAGATCATGGAATCACAGGCACAAGGAAAGGGCAGCACAAGGGTCACAAGTACCTGGAAGGTCTGGGATTGGGAGCTGTACTGAAAGAGTTTCTATAGATTATATACAATATATATTATTACAGTATATGTTTTTCCAGTATTGACACTGTGCTGATCAGTTCCTCAGGTTCTCAAGAGCTGCACGGACTTTGTTGAGGAGCACGGCATTGTGGATGGCATCTATCGGTTGTGTGGCATTTCTTCCAACGTACAGAAATTACGGTGAGTCCTGGGGATGGACACTGGTGAGAATATTTGGTGATCTGACATTGCGACATGACTTGTGATTACAACATATGTCATAATATGTTTTCCTACAGACAAGAGTTTGACATAGAGCGACCTCCTGACCTAAACAAGAGTCTCTACCTACAGGACGTCCACTGTGTAAGCTCCCTGTGCAAAGCTTACTTCAGAGAACTGCCCAACCCGCTGCTCACCTACCAACTTTATGACAAGTTTGCTGTGAGTATCCATAACCATGAAATCTCACAACCCTCGTAATCTCCCCCTGTTAGTGCAATGTTCAATGGAGACACAACTTTGCCTCAACATGGCAATGCTTTTCAAGGCATGCATGAACAGTACCTGGCTTCTGCACAACTGAATTCCTATGTCTTCCAGTGTCCTCATCTTCTACATGGTCCTAAGTCTTTGAAAATACCACTGCTGTATTCCCAAGATGGCTGCTGACTTCTGGGAACGGTGTGCAGAGCTGAACAATCACAATATCTACACATACATTGTTCTTCTGGCCTGCAGCCAGGGCTGTAGCTAGGCCAAGGCGACTGAGGCACTCGCCTCGAGCACAGGTGCAGGGCTTAGTGCGGCAGGGAAAAGTGGGGCGGCACAGCCTGCAGCTTCTCCTCTGGATCCCCACTGCTCTCCCCCTGCCTGTATGGGCAGAGGTAGCGGGGATCCGGGGAGAAGTGAAGTGCCGAAGCCGGGGGTTGGGTCAGAGGTGGGAGCTGTCACTTTAGGATGGCCCAGCGGTGAGGAGAGAGAGATCTGACAGCCGGCAGCCCTCTCTCTCCTCACCGCTCGACCATCCCCAAGTGACAGCTCCCTCCTCTGCCCCCCACTGCCGGCTTCATCGCTTCACTTCTCCTCGGATGGCAGAGCAGAGAATCTGTAAATATCAGAGATATGTATAACTAGGGACATATAGTACTTTGTGTCCCCAGTTATGAATGAACAGGAAGTGCTTTACATCACTTCCTGTTCAATAATGCGTTTCTGAATGGGTAGCACTCGGTACAGAGGCTTCTCCCCATTCAGAAACTGGTAGATAGTAAATATTTTCTAAATGATTGGGAAGCCTCTGTACTTTCTCTTCATTTAGAATAGAGGCTGCAGAAAAAGAGATTGAGGACTCTGTGTCCTCAATTTATTTTTCTATTTTAATAGGGAAATATCTGGGGGCTGTTTAGACCCCTAATATTTCCCTGAAGCCCCCCCCCCAACAG